GATAGTCTAGATCGAGGTGACTGGAACATGGGTTTAAGGGAGGCGTACTCGGAGGAGTGTGGATAACCACGAAATCCCACAGAAAAGAGCTCACTCACCACATTCGATTAACCCTACTTTACAACCTTAGCTAGGAGGATTCAACCCTTGGCAACCATCTCATCTCTAGCGTTCTCCCAAAGCCTTGGTTGGTTCTTTATTTTGCCTTAGGAGTAGGTTAATTTAGCTAAAACCCCTCACCAAACTTCCATCCCGATTAGATGGTAGTTCGGAGCGAGGTAATAATACACTTTGGGATCCCTTGGAATACGATCGAGCCACTTTACTCCAATCCTAGCTAGGTTATACTTGGCTTAGTTAGGATTGATTAGAGAGTGTGCTTCCACTTTATAAATTTAAAGCTCGATCGCGCACCGGAGCACGATCATGAGGTTCTTGTATGCTTTATAAGCTTTCTGACATGCTTCTTAGTATTTTGTGAAGCGGTTTGTTGTGTTTCCACTTTCTAATCTGCATTTTCTGGTATGCTTCATGACAATTGTGGTGAGGCAAAATTAATGCACAACACCAGGCCCTTGTGTCTCTCCTCTCCCAATTTTTAATAATGACAAGCATGTGCATATTTTTATAAACTTGTATTCATTGTGGTCAATCCCTTAAAATAAAATATACATTGAAATGAAATATTTCCATTAATCTTCTTATAAAAAAAATATTTCCATTGATTAGAGTTAGTATTTTTTTTTTTTATAGATTGATTAGAGTTAGTATTAACACTATACTAACACGCTATTAGCAACCCTACCCTACCTAATTCTTTTAAGCACAATAATGAAATTTCCGTGTAATTAATATAGTTTAAAAGTTACCTTTTGCCCTTCAATTGGGATTCATGTACAAGTCCAATATGTGTTTTCTTTGAACTGGTTGAACTGGATTCATTAAGTATGCAAATGGAAAAGTCCAACCTGTGACCAACCTTGTGGGCTCAAGAGAGGGTGAGTAACTATGAGTAACCAAATTTGGACCCTTCTTTTAAGTGGCTGTAGATCTAAGTGTGGAGAATTAAAGGAATTTATTTTCCCTAGTTTTCTCTATTGGATCATATCTTTTTCATTCTAACTCGGATTTCAAATTTTTTTGCATAGATGGAACGAGTTCGTTGTGCTCTACAAAATGATATTCATTTTCAATATTTTTTTAGAAAAAAATTTCATACCTCTCGTTACCAACTTCATACCATATGGTATCTCCTTCTTTATTTAATCGTTTTCGAAATTTTTTGCATAGAAGGAACGATTTAATCATGATCTATTGGATTTCAAATTTCATACCATACTATACCACCCTGGTATGCGATGGTATTTTCATACCATATGGTATGCTGTTATTTAATACCAGTCAATACCATATGGTACAATCAATATCATATCATATGGTATAGACTGGTAATAACTGGCAAATTTTTTTGTTCCAAAAAATATCAAAGTGGATATCATTTTGAAGAGCACAATTAATCTGATCTAACTGTGCAAAAAAACCCGAGTTAAAACGAGCGAGAAATCGTCCGTTAAAGATTAAGGGAAGGAAAATTAAAGGTTTTTCAAGAAGAGAGGAGGCGCTGATGTGACGGATTCTTATTGGGTTATGCATGGAGTTACTCACCGGATGGTTACTGCATGGAGCCAACCTTGTGAGTTGTGAATATGGTCTAGTTCTTCTCCGACGTTTCCCTTTCTCCTCCGTTTGAATATAATCAGCTTACACCTTCTATCCATAAGTATGAACATGTAGGCTAAAAAGCTTGCGACACGGAACAAGCTTTTTTTTTTGGTAAAACGACAGACGTCGAGCGTCTAATTCATATTAATAATAGCTCTTTCATGGGAGATTCCCATTACATCATGGTTGATCCACCTAATCAATTCCCTATCACACACATTGAACTGATGTGTGCCAAAATCAAAATCATGAGCCTTGTTGGCCAAGTAATCAGCCGCATAATTAGCTTCTCTATATACATGGGACACTCTAACCTCCCATTGTCGATCCAAAATACAGCTCAAGTGCCTGGCAGTTGAACCATGGCGATGCACATCATCATTCCTGTGTTTAATGATATTAATGGCAGTGGTAGAGTCGCTGTGCAGAGCGATCTTCCTGTAGCCTGCCTTCCAAGCAATCCTCAAACCCTCCAGGCTTCCTCGCAGCTCAGCAGCAGTGATTGAGCAGCGTCCAAAGTTACACACATAGGCGCCCAAACATCTACCTAGGTGATCCCTGAACAAACCTCCTGCTGCTGCTTTCCCACTCTGAGCATAAAAGGAGCCATCGGAATGTAGTTGAATCCATCCTTCCTCTGGCGGTTTCCATCCAATATCACAGGGGGTTCTCTTCTTTAGGACAAAACCTGTTGTCTTCTGCTGGTTGGCCTGAGCTTGATTCACTATATTGAACCATGCTTTGATTTTAGCTGTGACACTCTCTTTCTTGAATGCACACCCTTCCATCACCTCTTCATTTCTTTGCTTCCAAAGTTGCCAACAGATGATCCCAAACTCTGTGGCAGTTTCTTCACACTTGATGTTGTGTAGCAGCCAATCAGTGAAGTTTAAGCTTCTGCTCACAGTAGACTCCTTGTTCTGGAACGTTTCCCAAATGCTCTTAGCTTTTCTGCACTTCCTGAGAATGTGCTCTATTGTTTCTTCTTCTTCATTGCAGTGGTTACACAAGTTGCAGGTTGTCAGCTTCCTTTTCTCCCTCTCTTTGTTGGTGAGGAGGCGCTCATGGGTTGCCAGCCAAAGGAAGTGTTTGATCCTGCTTGGTCCTTTCCACTTCCAAACAGCTTTCCACCTCCCATCATCCTCTTGTTCCTCAATGTCAGCCACCAGCCTGTATGCTGACTTCAGGCTGAACCTTCCATCCTTCTCCAAGCCCCAGATGGTGATATCCTCTCCCAGCTCAGGGTCAGGAGCATCAACTCCTGCAATAGTCAAGATAACATCATTAGGGAGATATTGTCCTAGTTTATTCCAGTCCCACTTACCCTCCTCAGTCACCCAGTCAGCAACAGTCGAGTCCAGGTCCTCTTCATTGATGTCAGTGGTGGCAAAATCAGCAAGGATTGTGCTGTGATCAATCCAAGGTTGTTTCCAGAAAAGGGTGTTCCTCCCATCCCTGATGCTCCAGCATGTAGCCTCTCTCATCAGCCTCATTCCTCTAACTATGGCTTTCCATAGATTAGAGTGATTGCTTTTTTTCATGGTGGTGATATCTCCCCCTTGGTGCTTGAAGTATTTCCCCTGCAGGACCTGAACCCACAAATCAGAGGCATTATTAAGCATATGCCACCCAAGCTTGATCATATAAGCCATGTTCATATGCCTAGCAGATTTAAGACCTAAACCCCCTTGACTCTTAGGCTTACAGATATTGTCCCAGGCAACAAGATGAGTTTTCCTTTTGCCCTCAATGGAACCCCAAACGAAGGATCTGACCTTCCTATCAATAGCATCACAGATTGATAAAGGGAGGCAAGTGGTTTGCATAGCATAGGTTGGGAGTGCATTGAGCACTGAGACAGCAAGGGTAACCCTGCCAGCCAAGGAGAGGGTTCTTGCTTTCCAGCTAGTGAGCTTTTGGTCAATCCTATCCAGGATGAACTTATAGGTACTCTTAGTAATTCTACCATGTAACACAGGGACCCCCAGGTATCTGCCTAAGTCTGTAGTGGCTTGGATTCCCATTCTATTACAGATATCATTCCTATCCTTGTTCTTGACATTTCTAGAGAAAAAAACCCTAGATTTCTCTTTACTGATCATTTCCCCAGAGGCCAGGCAGAAGTTATTCAGACATTCCATCACAATGTCAGCTTGAGCAACACTGGCTTCAGCAAAGAGGACCAGGTCATCAGCAAAGAAGAGGTGGGAGAGGGCAGGACCCCCAGGGGAAAGCCTAATTGGTTTCCAATTGTGCTTCTTAACTTCACTACCAATACAGTGACTCAATCTTTCAATACAAAGAGTAAAGAGGTAGGGTGAGAGAGGGCATCCCTGTCTGAGGCCTCTGGATGGAGTAAAGCTGTCAGTTTCCCCTCCATTCCACAGCACCTGATAGCTTGTGGAGGTCACACACTCCATAATCCACTTGATACACAGGTCAGGTAACCTGGCAGCCTGCAGGGTTTCATGGAGAAACTCCCACCCAATCCTGTCATATGCTTTGGCCAAGTCCACCTTTAGCACCATATACCCCTTCTTGCCACTTTTCCTTGCCATAGAGTGGATGGTTTCCTGCATGATAATGATATTGTCAGTAATATGTCTCTTAGGAATGAAACTGGACTGGTTTTTGTTAACCAGTTTGGCCATGAGAGGTTTAATTCTATTGGCAATCAACTTAGCAATGACCTTATACCCAACATTACAAAGGCTAATGGGTCTAAACTGGTTCATAGAGGTAGGGTGCTCCACTTTGGGTATCCGGGTAATCAGGGTGTCATTGAGAACTCTAATTTTGCTAGGGCATTGGAAACAGGAGATGATGAACCCAGCAAAGTCCTTCCCAACCACCTCCCAGCATTTCTGGTAGAAGATGGCCTGGAACCCATCTTTACCAGGTGCTTTTAAACCATTCATATCCTTAATGACAAGTCTGACCTCCTCCACCGTAGGCATGGATGAAAGAGTAACAAGCAGGTTATCATCAAAGTATGGAAAATCAGCAGGAGTGGAACACCCCAGGAAGGAAGAAGGCTTAGTGAACAAGTGAAGAAAATACTCCCTGGCCATGGTGAGGAGGGTGTCAGCATCAGTGATCCAGTCTCCTTGGTCATTCTTCAGGCATGTGATTCTGTTCCTCTTTCTCCTGCTAAGTGTACTGGAGTGGAAGAATTTAGAGTTCAGGTCTCCAAAAACAACCCAGTTAGTTCTGGATTTCTGGATCCACAGCATCTCTTCTGAAATCAAAAGATGGTGCGTGTGGAACCGTTGGAAAACAGGTGCAACCACTATTAATTAAGTTTTTCAAGTGTTCAATCATACATGCTTACACTAGACACTATTACATCAACTCTGAACCGAATAAGGCCAATCAACCAAAAGCTACTTTAGCCCCAATAATATGAATGAACCACGCTTCAATCTTCTGGAAGCCATATTCTATTCCCTCTTTGATTTCGAGAGAGCCTTCTTCCTTTGGCTAAGCATGTACCTGTACATGTGGGGAGAACCTGCAACCATAAGAAGCAGAAGAAGAAAAAAACTGAATCAGGTCATATCTAAACGTAATACTTAACTACCAATCAAATATGAACAAGGTCACAGATCAACAATTTCATGCCTGGGACGTAGATTCCAAGAGCAATGAAAGCGATGTAGAAGTTGTCGAAGGAGAAGTTCCATTTGTTGGGCATCCTTATGCAGAATTTTTCAGACACCTGCCAAAACAACACCAGCAAGCTTTTATCTAAGCATTTATTCAGGAAGCCTAACTGCAGTGTTCTTACTTCACAAAAGTCAGCCATTTAATTTGTGCAAGACCCAAAGAGATTCAACATGAGAATTGGTTAACCTTTATGTGAGGCAAGGCAAGATAAATGAGACCAACTTCACTGCTGATACCAATGGGATACATCACCAAAAAAGTGCTGTACCTGCACACAGCAAAAAAAGCAGATCAAAATAAGCCTCCACTACCTTCCGGTTTCCAATTAATAGGAATCCAATAATACACAGATTTAGTTAACCTGAGCCACAAAAGAAATGAAGGTGTTGCACCAAAGGCTTCCTTCATGCCGAAGAATGAATATCGAATAATCTGCAATGGCGAGAAAATGAACCTCGGATGATGGATAGAAGGACCTTATAGACAGAGAAATCAAGAAGCATGATGCAAGGGAGAATGTATGCGACCAGATGCATAAACAGATCATAATATCCTAACAGTACAACATGATCCTTGATGGTCTCCTCTACGTTCGAGCTTAGGATTGTTTTCAAACAACCATACAGATTAAGAGATGAATGAGATAACACTTAAAGCACAGAGAACCTCAGTGAACAATGAGAGAAAAATAGGCTTCATGAGAGTGCTGGATTTGCAATGCCAAAACCAGTAAATTCCGGAATGAGTGTCCATTTGGTAAAGGAACAAGTAGAGGCATAAAGATTGACCAACAATGACATGTAAAAATAATGAACCAGCAGAACTCAACCTCCAAGCAGAAGAATTACCTCGGCGATCGACCAACTAATAGTCAAACTACTAACGAGGAAGTGCGTCTGAACCTACCAACAGATCAAGAACACAGCCATTATTAGTTCAAAATACCTGTCTTTTGACAGACTGAGATCATATCCTTCAGACTCCAAGAGCAAAGTGACATGAGATATTCGACTATATACCTCGGGGAAACTATGCAAAATGATCCATGTAAGATACAATCGCTTGCTAATCTGTGGGAGTGTTGCCGTTATTGGAGACCGAACCAAACCTTTTTATAATCACCACCAAACAAAAGTCAATTCTGAATCTTTGCATCAAAAGTTCTTCAAAAAAGTTGGCTAAGAGGGAATACTAGGAACAAAGGACTCACCCACTAAACTATGGAGAATCTGTTACAGAGGCAACACAAATTCAACAAACCACAAAAAGACGGACAGTATTCAGCAATCCTCATATGCAATGTGAAAATAGCATAAATGAAAAGAGAGAGCAGCATCATTGATCCTATATTGGGGAACTCCTAGTTCAAAAGCAACGGTCTTCTAAAAATTTAGAAAAAGCCCATTAGGATAGAAGTGAGAAAAGAGTGGTAAGACCTCCAAAATAGCAGCAGTTAGAGCGAGCTGGAGTGGCTTCTCAACTGCACTGTATACATGTTCATGACCCGATTCCTTCAAGGTCTTCACAGCTAAGAACAAAACCTGTGCCCTGTGAACTCGAAAGATAAAATAATTACGAAAAATAAAACATCCCCATTCCCCACTACTGAGAAAGAAGAAAGAAGCTGAGGGGAAGCGAAGGATGTTACCATCCAAAGAAGACGACCCAGTGTCAAGGTACAGGAACAGAAGAACAAACAAGAGTCTGCAGAAGAAAGAAGAATCCTGAAGGCTTGCGGATTGCAACAGGAAGAAGAGAAGCATGAGAAAACGTCGTCGTCTCTTCTTATTCTTATTTAGCTTTGACAAAGAAACGCTACCGTTTTGTTTATTGTTGTTAGCCGTTAGAGAAGCACTGTTAGCTTCTTAATGGACCAGTAGTAAGTGGACAAGTGTAAAAGCAACTGTTAATTTGATTTTGTTGCTATAAAAGGAACAGAGGACTCAGCAGCTAAGACTGAGCTTCCTCTTCCCAAATCCCTTGCAAATTCACATGGTATCAGAGCAAGACCTGCTCTAGGGTTTTCTTGTGAAGCCGACGCCGCCATGTCTGGACAAAGTTCACCACGTTCAGGGCAAAGGTCGACGCAGACCACTGGAGCACTTGGGACTGCTGCAGGAGTTCAATTTGGGTCATTCAACCAGGAGAATCCTCAAAATGAGACGGTTGTGTTCGGTAACCCATTCTATCTCAACCCGAACGAAAATATGGCGATCTCATTAGTCTCTGAGTTGTTTGATGGATCTAACTACTCCATGTGGAGTAGATCTATGCAAATGGTTTTAAAAACAAAGCATAAGATGGGTTTTATAGATGGAACTATACCTATACCTCCTAGAGATTCAGATCGCTTTGCCTTGTGGGATGCTTGTAATACACTTGTGTTGTGCTGGATTCAGAATTCTGTAGCTAAGGATATCAGGAGATCTGTTCTCACACACAGCAATGCCAAGGCATTGTGGGATGAACTTAAGAGGAGATATGGAGTACCTAATGCCCTTCGTATTATGAACTTGGAAGATGAGATAGGTGATTGCAAGCAGGGTACACAAACCATCAGTCAGTACTACACTAAAGTTAAAGGGTTATGGGATGAATATGTGGAGTTTAACCCAATCATTCCTTGTGTCTGTGCACCTGGAAACCCCATACCTTGTGCTGCTGTGGCTGCTTTCATTCAGAAGCAAGAAACAGACTATCTGATCAAGTTTTTGAGGGGACTAAACCCAGCCTATGATATTGTCAAGACACAGTTACTGATGCAAAAACCGCTGCCTACTGTATCTACAGCTGTGGATGATTTGCTGCAACATGAACAGAAATTGAAGGGTGATAATGTGTCTGGGGGGAAGAAATCACAGACTATGGCACTAGCAGTTGAAGGAGAGCAAGGAAGAGATGTTAATGAAGGTAGACAGGGAAGGAAGTTTTGCAGATTCTGCAAAATGAGGAATCATAACATTGAGGACTGCTGGAAGTTGAAGAAGAAACAAGGGGAGCAAAAGGATGGAACAAGTTCAGGATCAAATTCCAGTTCTGGGACACCTAGATTTGCTGGATCAGTTAATCAGTCTGGAGTATCAGATGCCCATTCAGAAGCAGGCTCTTCAGCAGAAGGAAGTGGAACTCAGGTATCACTTGGATTTACAGCTGAAGAGATGAACAAACTCAGGTATCTGTTACAAGCTGGTGCTGGCTCACCCTCTCCGCCAAACTCCCCATCCATCAACCACCAAGCCTTTTCAGTTTCTCAATTCCTAAGTCCTTTCCCTAACCATTCAGGTAAATACATCCTTTCTTCATTTCAACAAACCAACATAGCACCTATAGACCTGTGGATTTTAGATACTGGAGCCTCAGATCATATAGCTTGTTCCCAAACCCTTTTCTGTGAAAGTAGAATAGTTTCTGATACTTTTGTTTACTTACCAAACAGTACAAAAGTATTAGTCTCACATATGGGAACTGTCAAACTACCATCAGGGTTGTTCCTATATGATGTTTTACTAGTACCTAGTTTTACATTTAATCTCATTTCAGTGAGTAAATTGACCAAAGACTTTCCCTTATCCTTACACTTCCAATCTGATCATTGTGAAATTCAGGACCTGTTAAGCATGAAGAGGATTGGCTTAGCAAAAGAGTCTAGGGGACTATACCAACTTACCTTCACAAGAAGCCAGCCCAAGACCTTTTCTTCAAACCAGACCAAGACTTTGCAGCCTTCACATAAACACCAAGCAGCTTTTACCTACAACTTTCAACCACAGGAACTTGATCTATGGCACTGGAGATTAGGCCACCCCAGTCATGATAGATTATCTCTATTACATCAAAACAATCCAGTTGTAACTAGCCATAGGATTCAACATTGTGAGACCTGTCATTATTCTAAACATAAGAAACTTCCCTTTCCTGTTAGCACCAGCTTTGTTTCAGATGTGTTTCAGCTTATCCATGTGGATATTTGGGGACCTCTTTCTACTGTTTCTTATGATAATTACAGTTACTTCCTTACAATTGTTGATGATTGTTCACGTGCTGTTTGGGTTTATTTGATGCGCCATAAGAGTGAGACAAGAGGTCTGTTACAGGGTTTCTGTAATCTGGTTAAAAACCAGTTTAATACAACAGTGAAGATTATCAGAAGTGATGGAGGGAAAGAGTTTGACATGAGTGAGTTTTACAGAGTGGAAGGTATAGAACACCAGGTTTCTTGTGTAGAAACACCAGAATAGAATGGAAGGGTGGAAAGAAAGCACCAGCACATACTCAATGTGGCTAGATGCTTGAGGTTTCAATCTGGTATACCTTTGGAGTTTTGGAGTGACTGCATTCTACATGCAGTGTATATCATAAATAGAATGCCAACACCTATCCTGAAAAACAAATCCCCTTATGAAGTACTTTACAAACAAACACCATACCTAGGTAACCTGAAAGTGTTTGGCAGCTTGTGTTATGCTAGTAGCCTACTACAAAGCAGAACCAAGTTTGCACCCAGAGCCAAACAGTGCATCTTTTTAGGTCTACCACCAGGTGTAAAGGGTTACAAATTGTTGGACATACAGGATTTCACAGTGTTTGTGTCAAGGAATGTGACATTCTATGAGGATATATTACCCTTTAAATCCTCCAGTGGTAACACAGAAGATGATTCTACTTTCCCATCTCCAGTTGTGACACCTGTGTACCCTCCTACTCATTCTTCTCCTCCTATTTCCATGCCACCTGTTTCACCGTATCATCCTCAGTCTGTTTCATCCAAGGATGATGGGGAGTACCCTACTGCACTGAGTCCTGAAACAGGTGAGACAAGTAACAATGACAGTGAAGCAAATGGCAACAGCAATAGTTCCATTCATCATCATCAGTATGAGTACTTTGAGTCTGATGATTATGAATTAATGCCACAATAAGACCTTGATGCTGATGCAGAAGTTACAACTCAGGATGCAGTGTCAAAGAGGAAAGGAAAACTTCCAGCAAAGTACAATGACTACTATCTTGATGAGCAGGTTGGTAACTTCAAGAATTCTAATTCTTGCTCTAGGTATCCAGTTTGTCTTAATATGGATCACTTGACTCCATCAGACAGAACCTATGCAATGAATGTAATGACTATGTTTGAACCATCCTCTTACTATGAAGCCATCAAGATTGATGAATGGAACAGGGCCATTAACAGTGAGATATACTCACTTGAAGAGAACCAGACATGGGACATAGTTCCACTCCCAAAAGGGAAAAAGCCAATAGGCAATAAGTGGGTGTTTAAGCTCAAGTTGAAGCAAGATGGTTCCCTAGAAAGGGAAAAGGCCAGATTAGTGGCAAAAGGCTTTACACAAGTGTATGGGATTGATTTTCTGGACACATATTCTCCAGTAGCCAAAATCAATTCAGTCAAAGCACTTCTGGCAATTGCTAGTGTGAAGAATTGGATCCTAGAACAACTGGATGTATCAAATGCCTTTTTACATGGAGACCTGGAAGAAGAGGTGTATATGAAGATACCACTGGGGGTAAAAGTGCCAGAATCTAATGGCCAAACTATGGTGTGTAGACTGAAGAAGTCCCTCTATGGACTTAAACAAGCATCCAGACAGTGGTTTGCAAAATTGACAGGTTACCTGATGAAGCTTGGTTTTGCTCAATCTGCTTCTGACTACTCACTCTTTACAAAATGGGTCCATGGCAAGGTTGTGGTGCTTCTAGTGTATGTAGATGACATCATTATTGGTGGTGATGCTCAGAAGGATATAAATCAAGTCAAGACAGCTCTGAGTAAGGAATTCAAGTTGAAAATGCTTGGACCATTGAAGTACTTTTTGGGGTTGGAAATAACCAGAGATGATACAGGCATAAGTGTATGCCAGAGGAAATACTGTACTGATTTGTTGAAGGACACAGGCTATCTTGAAGCCAAAGGGTGCAAGTCACCTATGGATTGTAAGGAGAAGTTGACTGCAAAAGGAACTTTGTTAGAAG